AAAAAAATGCCACCCAAAGACCCTCTGAAGGGCACAGTGTAAATTCAGGGAAGAGAGAGCAGGGAAGTCCACAAAGCCGGCTCCAGCACTGAGTGGATCATGCTCTGCACTGGCCGCTCCAGTTCCTTCTAAGGGCACAGCCCTTCTAAGCTACCCCCAAGACCTCACCCCTCGGCCTCACTTGCTTCATATGTGAGAAGTTTATCCCGGCTGCCTCTGAAGCTGTGGGTGGGGTGTGGAGAGCCTGCTCTGAGGTGTGGGGAGTTAGGGAGGAAGGGCAGCTGCCACCAAGGGCCGGGAGCTTCTTGGCTCCCTCTGTGAGCTGGCCAGGGTAGCCTGTCCTGCACCCAGCCAAGAGGACAGCCAGCCTCTGGGCCTCCTGGGACTTCTCCCTGGAGCATGTTGTCTGAGGTTGTGTATGCCCTGAAGAAAAGCCTAGGATGGGGCTGTTTGCTACAAGCCCACAGCGGGTGACTTTTAGTGTTCCAACTCTGCGTTTGTTAGAATCCTCCTTAGAGTTAGAGACCTGCCTGTTCCAGAATTCCTAATATAAGATGTTTTCATTGGTGGGTTCGTGATACCGTTTCCCTTAGTGACGTGTTTGCAGTGTCGATCGTATTGAGAATTCTGGTTTCTGACACCGTGCCTTATTCTGGCTTTCAAAGGAGCATCTGGGCATAACAGGGACCTCCTTTAGTAATCAGAGCCCCCAGTCCCTGCAGTCTCTGGACGATAGTTGCTAGACCAGCATCCAGGAGCAGGGAGGAGAAGCCTCCCTGCATCTGGGGCCGCAGACGGATGGGAGCATCTTGGCTCTCTCCGCACACTGGTCAGGGGTGGCCTGTCTTATGCCCAGCTGAGAGGACAGCTGGCCCGCTGGGCCTCCCGGGGCCTCTCCCTTGAACACGTGCTGTCTGATTACGTGCAGCTCTGTGCTGGCTGCAGTTCTTCTTTTTTTGACAAAGCCTGGGTAGAGGGCTGGGTATCACAGCTCACAGCAACCTCCAACTCCTGGGCTCAAGCGATTCTCTTGCCTTAACTTCCCAAGTAGCTGAGATTACAGGGGCCCACCACAGTGCCCAGCCATTTTTTGGTTATAGCTGTTATTGTTGTTTGGCAGGCCCGGGCTGAATTCAAACCCACCAGCTCCAGTGTATGTGGCTGGCGCTTTAGCCACTTGAGCTACAGGCACCGAGCCATGGCTGTACTTCTTGAGTCTTACCCAGGAGAGGAGTGCGGGGTGAGGGTGGGTTGGTTCCAGTTCCCCAGGCAATCTCAAGCCTCCAATGTGACTTTTCTTTTGATAATCTCTGTTGACAGCAAGATGCCATTATCATCCTCTCTGTTCACAGAGGCAGAGATTTCTCCATTTCAGAAGGTTCCCCTTTCCACAAGCAGTTAGTCATATCCAGAGTCCCACTTGGTAATTTAGACAGTTCACTATGTGGCCCTGGACCTTGAACAGTACTGGCAATGGAACTCAGTGATCTGATACAGGCGTCACCTGGTCTGCTGACTACACATGACCTTCTACTTCTTTCTTCAGAGGTCAGGCTAAACATCCTGATTTTGGGGTCGGCGCCTGTGGCTCAAGTGGCTAAGGTGCCAGCCACAAACACCTAAGGTAGCGGGTTAGAATCCAGCCCGGGGCCTCCCAAACAACAATGATGGCTGCAACCAAAAAAAATAGCCAGGCATTGTGGCGGGCACCTGTGGTCCCAGCTACTTGGGAGGCTGAGGCAGGAGGCTCGCTTGAGCCCAGGAGTTGGAGGTTACTGTGAGCTGTGGTGCCACGGCACTCTACCCAGGGGGACAAGCTTGAGGCTCTGTCTCAAAAAATAAATAAATACATAAATAAACATCCTGATTTTGGTCCTAGCCCCAGCAAGAAGCATCACCTCCTCCAGGCCAGGAGCAGTAAGGGTCAGGACTGCCAGGTGGCATAGCGCCAAGGGAGCCACTGCCATGTGGTCTGGGGTTGCGCAGTGTCCAACCTGCACAGATGGACACAGCAGGCCTGGTGGTGGTGTGGGGTTTCTGTGTCTGGACAATGCTAAGGGGGAAAGAGGGTAGGAAGGAAAATGGTGTGGGATTTAGCGACGTGCTTGGAAGTTTATTCTGGGTAACTCATGGCCACCCTGCCATTGGCATAAGGAGACTGGCAGTGACTGTCGCACCCCTCGGTCGCGCCGCTGCGTCCTGTGGCCCCTGCTGAGCTGCGGCATCTGCAGGGACCCCCTGGCCGGGAGGGTGGAGGGGAGCTAAGGGTTTATGTTCTTTCGTTTCGTTTCTCTTCTTGGCTTCTCCATTACCTGACCTCTCACCCCTCATACTCTCTGTCCTCTCCCTTTTCCTTGATCTTTCTCTCAACCTTATCTGAGCCAGACGTACCCAGCTAGAGTTTTCTTTTAGGGGGAGAGGGACTCAAATGAATTTCTCTCCCACATCTGTGTGGCTCCTACAAACAGCGTGCTTCTCAGATAAACAGGTGTCTGGGGAGCCGTGCGGGGATCGGGGTGGCCCACATCCTCACGGGGAGACTTCTCTGTCCGCGGGCAGGGAGCAGAGGAGCCGCTGCAGGGACAGGTGGGGACGTTCCTGTTTCTCCTCCTGGACATGCTGAGAATTAATAGCACTTGCCTCTGAGCTTGTGGCTGGTGAAAAACACCCTCCCCACCCAGCCCTGTGCAGAGAACATCCGGATACGTGGATGCCATAGGCAGCGAGACCTGCCTTCTGCTGGGTTTTCACTGCTGTGCTCTGGAGCATCAGTGGCATCTTTCTGAAGGTCCACAAAGTCACAGGGTCACAGTTAACAGACGACGTGGGGAGGGAATGATGAGGGGCCATGAGAAAGCCAAGGTAGAGAAAACTGCAAAGCAGGGCAGAGCCCTCTGTGGATAAGGGAACGTGTGGCCAGCAGGGACCCCATGGCTCCTCCAGGATGCCCCGCCGGCTCCTCGGGAGTGGCTCACAGGAGACACAGGTGGGAGCCTGAGGAGCTTCCTCTGGGCACTGGTCAGAGCCCTTCCCTGTCTGGAGGCTTCTCCCTGCAGAGATGGACCCAGAGCCCATTCTCCAGCCGTAGCAAAGACACGGAGTTGGGCTTCCCCACTGCATAAAGCGCGTGTGGGCACCTACAGTGAGCATACCCTCTCCAGGCAGGAGGGAACATTTCTGTTTGGGGGTCTTTATCTTAGGAAGAATGAAATGAATGTGTGAGTTTGGGGCCTCTTAGGCTCAGCATCAGGGTGCGTGCTCTAGGGAGGGGTGCTCCCTTCTGTGTCAGGGGGCGGCACCTGCAGGTCAGGGTGGGGTGAGCTGTCTGAGCCCCACTCCCACCCCCTCCTGTGCTTGCAGGGAGAAGTGGTGCCACATGACCCAGGAGGAGCGTGATGACAGCCTGCGGTTCAACGAGAACATCACCTTCGGGCAGCTGGGGTGAGAGCCGGGGCCAGGCTAGAGAGGGAGGGAGGTCACACGCCAGAACCAGACACGGTGTCAGCACAGCTCAGCCCTCCCCAGCTGCCCCTAAGGCGTGGGCTGCATCACACTCGGCCTTGATTCCAGTTTCTACTTAGTCCGCCTCCTAACACGACCTCTGGTGGCGGCAGCTTTACAGTGCGTGTGTTGGTGGCTGGAAGGTAACGGAGGTTTTAATTTGTGCTGAGAGTTCCAGGCAGGGCGTCCAGGAGGATAGGGCCGGGTTCCCCAGTGAGGCGGCTCGTGACGCCCGGTGTCTCTCCCTCCCCAGCACGTTCACACACAACATGCTGGCCTTCGGCCTCAGCAAGAAGCTGTGCAACGACTTCCTGAAGAAGCAGGCGGTGATCGGCAACCTGGACGAAGGTGAGGCTGCCAGAGCCGGCTCGGGTGGGGACGCAGCCCTCACCCGCCTGGCCCGTCCACGTCTGCCTCTCTCGTCTCTCCTCTCGCCCTCAGAAATGCATTTCTACCAGGCAGGCCAGGTAGGGTAGGGAGCCCGGCCCAGGGACAAACAGGACAAAGGCACGGGTGAGACTTGGTGCCAGACTCAGAACCCGTTCGGAGCCAAACCCCAGCCCCAAGTTGTTCCTTCTGAACAGCCACCATGTGGCCTCCCTCTATTCCTTGGACCACACTGCCCCAGCAGGTATGGGGGTAGGGCGGGGAACAAAGGGGTGTATGGAGGGAGCTTTGGGGTTTTTAGACTCCGGCTTCTGTGACAGCAGGGAGTCTGCTGACCAGCCAGCTGTAAGGTGCCCTCCCATCGCCACCAGACAGTTTTCCTGCCTGAGAGGCCTTACACTTAGTGTATATTGGATTGACCAGCATCCTTTAAAAATTCCATCTGCCAAATTTAAGGGGTCCACAGAAGAGTGGCCTTAGGAAGCAAAAGGGTGTTAGTGGCACCCGGGACAATCTTAAAATGCCGCCACCAGCCCCATCTCACTAGCAAAGTGCAAGGACTTACTGTCATCTCCCCCAGTCTCCAGAATGTAGGCCGGTCCATCTGGCCACACTGTGCCTGTCACAGGCTCCCCCGTGGTCCTCTGGGACACCACCTTCATGAACACACGTCTTCCCCCCAGGGGCCACTCCACAGTGCCACCCGTGCCCACATGTGGCACGTTGGCCATGATTCTCTGTGCTCACTGCACACCTTTGAGGCACAGCCCTGCAGAGTACGGCAGCACATTCACCCCTCCCTGCCCTGCCCTGCCCTGTCCCGCCCTGCCCTGCCCTGCCCTGCCCTGCCAGGTCCTCACTACCCAGTGAAAAGAGCAGGACATGCCTGTTCCAGTGCCCCCTTTCTTCCAAGATGTGACACTGTGTTCTCTTCCAGAGCAATACAAGCTGCTTAGTGAGCACATCGAGCAAATGGCCACTGAGTAGGCCGTGGAGGCCACCCCTCCAGGAGGACCGAGGGCCGGCGACTGGCCGTCACCCACTCGATGACCCTGCATGACGCCAGCAGCATCCAGAGCTGCTCCTCGCTGCCCTAGAACTAGCGGTTAGAAGAACTCAGCTGCCTGTCCTCCCCTCTGCCTGTGTCTGCTCCCCCTTCCACGTGCCAGAGCGTCCCTCGGATCTCACAGCTCACCCTGAGGTGACCAGCTGGACCCCTGAGCACCAGGCTTGTGAGATGAGACCGAGAGGGAGGAGGCCCAGGCTGGAGCAGGTGTGGCGGACACAGCGGGCACAGGTGGGTGGCCGTGTGCTAGGCAGGGCTGTAGCCGGCATAGGCCGGGGCGCAGTGGGGCAGGCGATGGCCACGCTAGGCACCTGGGCCTCGTCCCCATGCCTGGGATGGACAGAGCTCCCGCCCAGCACCCAGTGTCAGCCTGGGCTGGTACCCGCTCTTCCCCCACCTCCCTCCGTGGAAGGGGACCCGCCTGGAGGAGAGAGAGCCCCTCCTGGTGTAAGGACAGAGGCTGCATAGAAGGTGCTCCTGCTGCTGCCAGACTCGGCCCCGTCAGCCACAAGGGAGAGTCCCAGATGGTGCAGGATCTGTGCCCTTCCCTTGTAGTCACAGTAGCACTGGGGTCTTCTGTGGCCGCTTATCCAAAATGCTCCTGCTTAGCCAGCGGCTTCTGTCTGACACGGAGAAGCTTCCTCAGCCCCTGGGGAGTGACTTCATGCCGTCTGTCTACATGAGAAACACAGAAAAGGGAGGTCCGGGAGCTGAAGGCAGAAGGTGCCGCTGTGTGTGTCCGGCATGTGAGCACAGGCTGTTCAGTGGGACAGTGGCTGGGGAGAGGCAGCTCCAGCACAGATACCTGGGGCTGGTGGCAGAGTGGACTCTGTGTCTCAAGCTTCAGGCATCAGGCCTTCCACTCCTGTAGCCCAGCCCTCCTACCTCTGTCCCTCACTCCACACCAGCGCCTGTGGCTGTGGCTTCCTTGTGGGTTTGTCCAGCACAGCAGCCCAGGGCCGAGGCCAAGGCCACACCCTCTGCGTGCTGGGCCCACAGCTGGCAGCTGCCCAGTTGGCCTGGGTGCCCCACCTCCTGCCCATCACCGTTCAAGTTGTGACTGGAGACAGGTGCACTCTCTCACCAGCCCTCCACCCCTCCTATACCCACCCCATATCCCCGACCACGAGCACAGCAGAAACATGCCTGATGGTCACTCCCCAGCCACTGCTCCGGAGGTTTCCCTCCCAGGCATGCCTCCCTGGAATGTTCCAGGAAAGAACACCAAAGGTTGCGCCACAAAACATGTACTGGGGCATTGTCTGCCACGTGGCCTCTCGTGAGCACATTCTGGCATCACACTGCTGGCCCGAAGGAAGGGGAGTGAGGCTCAGAGTCCTCGGCACAGCATGGTGTGTATGTGAGTGTGTGTGAATGTGTGTGAGTATGTGTGAATGTGTGTGTGTGATTGTGTGTGAATGTGTGTGTGTATGAGTGTATGTGTGTGATTGTGTGTGTATGAGTGTATGTGTGTGTGTGAGTGTGTGTGTGTGTGTCCTCCACCTGCCTGGCGATGCCTCAGAGTGGACCATGCTGCTGCTCACTCTCCATGTGTGGGGCAACTGTGCAGGCTAAGGTGCCCTCCTCCTTAGCCCCCAGCAGCCGTGCATGTCTGCACTGAATCCATTTAGAGAAACAGCATCGTATCCGTGGGTATGTGGCCCCCTCCTCGCTCCAGTGCCAACCCCAGGTATTGCGCCCTCCCCAGACATTCAGCCTTTGGAACCTTTGCGCCCTGCCCCCTGCACCTGCAAAGCCCTGGCTGACCTTCTGGGCACTCCTGTTAGCCATCGCGTCCTCGGCTTCCTTAGTTGTGTATTATTAGTATGAGGTGAAATGCAGTGAGACTTTGCTCCGAGGTGCCCCTGAGACGTACCCTGTCCACACAGGACTTCTGAATAGATGTTCTGACTCAGCCTGAGCCTCTCCCCAGGGGCTGGGGAACTTGTGCATGTGGCCTTTGGAAGGAAATGCAGCTTTGGCTTCTTTTGACATTTTTCCAGGCACTTTAACTTCAAAAACGATTTTGAGACTTCCCCCCCACACACATAGACCTTTGAGATGTAAGAAGAAGGGGCAGCTCTGCTTGTTCCCCCACTGCCTTGTTCTTACTGGTCTGGCTCCTCAGGGGTGGAGAGAGTCTGACCCCGGGAGGCATTGCTTTCTGTGCTGGGCCCCACACAGGACACCACCAGAGAGGTGCAGGCCTTCCCTGCCACAAGTGGGGCTGGAGGTAGCCCCAGAGGCTGTCCCCTGTCCCCCGTCCCCCTGTCTCCCCTGCTGACAGCTGGCCTTGGAGGAGGGCTTCACTATCTAGAGCCTCTGGCAGTGTCCCAGAGAAACACTGACAGCTTCCTCTTCCCTGGGACATCTCTCCCTCCAGGGCCTGGCTGGAGCACACAGACCCAGCCCACAACACTCAGAGGTCCCTATATGGGGCGATGTCACCCCTAGGTGTACACAGGGATGCTTTGGCACAGGAAAGCTCTGGCAACCCTTCTGTAAACTCAGGAAACGTCAGATGATACCCAGGAAGAAGTTTTTCTGGCCAAAGCCGGGAACACTGGTGTTTCAGATTTGCTGCTGCCTGACCTTGGGGCCACAAGAATCATAGGAACCAAAATGCAGTTTTCTCAAGTAGAAAGCGCCTGCCCCGTGCACAGGGCACCGTTGAGATGAAGCCTTTGTTATTCTGGTGACACTGTTGGAGGTTTAAGAGGGGTCGCTTAGTACTCAGATGGCATTTGCTCTGTGGTGCATGCATTTAAACAAAGGCAAGAGAACCGACCTCCAATATCATAATTTGTCTGTGAGCCAGACGGAGTAGACTCTGTGATTGTCCTATTGCCAAAAGGAAAAAAGCAGGCAGGGGAGCCCCGAAATCACGCAAAGAGCCAGGGGTCCACCTTAGGAGCCCTGTGCCCAAATTAAAACCCAGACGTTCAGGTGCCCCAGTAGACATGCGTGGTTTGGAGCCGAGGCCCAAGTGGGAATCGGAGGCACCACCTCCTCTGTCTTTCCTTTCTGGGAGTTGAAACCAAATGGGTCTCTGTCGCCGCCTTCTCCAGGCCATCAGACTGTGAGTTCATTTATGTGGACAGAGGCTGTGGTGTCACCGTCAGCTTTTCCGTGGGCTGCTGTGTGGGTTACCCACTCCCCATGGGAGCACCTGGGTTCCTGGTGTGAGGAGTAGAGATTGCCTCACTGGGGTTTCAGTCAATCCTGAGCTACCTTAACCGGAAGCTGGGACCCTCAGTGACCAGCTGGCTTTTTCATCAGGGAGGATCTGGGTGGTCCCATGTGCTCAGATAGCTTTGTTACTCGTTACCTGAAACTTCGGTCAATGGGGCAGCCAAAGCCCCATAGTTTGCTAAGAACAAGGGTGGGCTTGAGAGAGAGGACTTTAAAAATGAGAGGGTCTCTTGTTGCAGAAGAAAGGGGTACTGGGGGGTGGCAAGGCCCAGCCCCGACCTCAGGGAGAGGGGAGGGGAGCCCCTCCAGGCCCTGCCAGGTGGGTGGTCCAAGGCTGGGCTGTCCTCAGAGGAGGCTGCCAGGCAGGCGCCATCTCCGCAGACCACTGGGCTCCAAGGCTGCTGCTTCTGCTTCCTCTCCCGCCCCAACAAGCCACAGGGTTCTGCTGAACCGTTTCTCCCAGGACTCGGCCATCCCGCTTTTTCTGTAAATCACTCATTCATGTTTATGATTCTTAGAGAAAGGTCTTACTTCAAAAGCTTTCAGCCGAGTTTCACATTAACGTGGGTCATATAGGCTAGGAACCCCCCAACTGGCACTCATGTGGGTTGAGGCTTCATGCTGCCCAGAGCTTCCTCCAGCCACACAGGCCATACCCTGTAAATCCTTCTGGCCCTTCCAGGAAGAGCGATGTGTCAGTCAGACGTCAGTGGACAGATCCTTTCCAGAGGGGTCACGTGCAGCGCTAAGCCACCCTCTGTGGCAGACTCTTCCTGGGCCTGCCTTCTGTGCCTCAGTCCCCCTTCAGGCTCTGGGCCTGGGTGTCATGTAGTCCTCAGAGGTGAGCCAGGGACCAACTCAGACTCCCAGGAATAGCGCCTCCATGGTGGCCAGCCTGGGTCATTCCTGAGCGACCCGGAGCCCCACATCCAGGCACTGGCCTTAGGTTGAGTTCACGCCAGCAGTTCCCAGTGGCCAGTCTGAGCTCTACAGAGTGAGATGGGCAGAGAGCTCGGGACTGCAGCCCTGGCCCTGGCAATGTCCAGGGAGTTGCGTGGCCATGGGACTGGAGTGGGGCAGTGCTCCCACAGTGGGGGGTGTTCTTGGTTACTGCTGGGCAGGGGGAAACTCACTGGGTCAGGAGACAGGGAGAATAAGCGTGGTCTGGGTCCCTTTCACACACACACCCCTTCCGTAGGACGTTGTGCATTTTGTGGAGAACCCAGATGCCTGCTCTACCCACAGCCTGCAGGCTCTGACGAAACAAAGTCAGGCCCCCAGCTGCTGCAGCCTGGGGCTCCAGGAGCTGCATTTTAAGGGTGCTGCACGTTAACTGGAAAAGGGGTATAGTCAATGGATTGGGGTGGTGCCTGTTCCCTCTTTGCTCCTGGAATGCATCGGCCAGGGAGGAAGGCAGCCCTGGCCCTCGGGGGGTAAGGCTCTAAGGGGGGCTACAGGTGGCTTTCCCTGCAGAAGATAGCACAGCCTGGGCTGTGGGGCTTCCCCTGTGCATCGTGGCTTCTTTTGGGACTTTCAGTGTTGGCTGCGTGGTGAGCTGTCTGCTTTCTCTTTCTCCCAAGTTTGTCTGGGACCCAAACCTGCCATCGTCACACCCAAACGTTGCGTTTTCCTTAGCTCCCCAAGCATAGAGGTCAGTGATGCTGACAGTTTATGTGTCATAGTTATGCAATTTTGTGTCCCACTAGGTGACATTCTACAAACTGTATTTTAAGGTTGAGAAAGTTTCAAGGTTGAAGATCTCAAAGCATTGCTAAAATCAAAGCTGTTTCCTGTGAAGAAAAAACATATCTATCTATATATATATATATATATATAGCACCTTGGATTGTCAGAGGTGGAAACTGAAATAAACTATCTTTTAAAAAAAAAAAGTCTGTGTAATTTTTGTTTTAACATATCTGTGAGGACTTTTTACAGAATTTGCAATCTTCTCGGTTACATCAGTGGCTTTTCAGAAGAAAACATTGTTTTCTGAGGTCAAATGGGTGGTTCCCCATTGAGGCTGAGACTGTGGAAAACGGAGAACAGGAGACTCCCCCTGCAGGTAAGGCTGACTGGGGAGCTGTTTAGCTGCAGGGGGTCTGATTCAGTCTGCAGGGGGTCTGACCTCTGCACCTGCCTCCAGCAGGTAAGGCTGACTGGGGGGCTGTTTAGCTGCAGGGGGTCTGATTCAGTGCCTGAGGGGTGTCTCCAGTGTGTCCTGATCTCTCCCCTGGACCCTGATCTGGCAGCTCTGAGACGCCAGAGCTGCTGTGCGTCTCAAGCTGAGGGGTTTGGGGGCAACCAATGAACCCTGGCCACAGCTCCTGCCCAAAACAAGCAGGACACTGTCTCCGTCCTTCCCAACTCTGGAAGCACAGAATCCAGTTCTAGGACCCAGACGTGCTCAGGAAGCCCCAGCCTCACCAAGTGGTGCCAGGCAGCCAGCTGCCCTGACCACAGACCCCTGCACCTGCCTTCACCTCTGTCCCCCGACCTCTGTGGTCTTCTGCAACACGTCCTGCTCCCAGGGTCACCCCTGCACATCACATTTGTGTGTTATGGGCTGAAGTCTGTCCTCCAGATTCACATGTACAAGTTTTTCCTCCCAGTACCTCAGAACGTGACCTTACTTAGAAATAAGTCCTTACAGGTGTGGTCAGTCAAAATGAGGCCGTGCTGGAGTGTGGAAAGCCTCTGATGACAGGCGCCCTTATAAAAAGAGCCAATCGGGACACAGGTTCGAGTGCACACAGGGAGAAGCCACGTGAAGATGAAGACAGAGCCTGGGCGAGGTGCCTACATGCTGAGGAACGCCAGCCACCAGCAGAAGCCAGGACACGGGTGGGGACAGGACCTCCCGCAGAGCCCGAAGGAGCCAGCGCTGCCGGGACACCTGGATCTCACACTTCTCGCCTCCAGGACACAAGAGAATAAATCTCACTTGTTTGTACCGCCTGGTCTTGTGAGCTCAGCCCCAGAAAATGAATCCACTGTGCTGTCACAGGGTCACTCACACCTGGAGTTTCCAGACATGACACAGAACAGGATCCGATTGAGGGTCACAGGGCATTTACTGATCACCAGCTATGCCCCAGGCACTATGCCGGGCACACTGAACCCCAGCACAGCCTTCAAGGGGAGTGACGCTGGCCGTGATGGGCAGATGAGGAAACGGAGACTCAGGGGATGTGTCTGAGGGCACACAGCATGCCCCCCTCCATTTTTCCAGCTGTCACGGGGAGTTCTACGTATGGAGCCCCTGTCCCCTGATGTCCTCCACGGGGGCTTCTTCCACAGAGCTGTCCCCACTCACTTCCTCATCTGTTCTCTGCTCCCGTGTGGCGCTTGGAGCACTCTAAACAGTAATGATAAGAGTTAAAACCACAGCAATGGCATCAGTACCAGTGAGGGCAGCCACAAGCCTTGAGTAGTGTTTTCTGTGTAACCAGCAGAGTTTAAATGTGTCACATGGATCTGTTTGTCTGATGCCTGCAGGTGAAGGGTCTAAGGCCTGGGGCGGGGGGGTTGGACCAAGACAGTCTGTCTGGGGCTACACTGCCTTCCACCTTCAAAGACTTGTCCCTGTCCTCCCACACACATGGCAAGCTGGCTGCCACCTTGCCCACCATTCACTGCGGCTAACCCTGGTGGCATGAGGCTGGCCAGTTTATCTGCCCTGCTCAGCTGGACACCTGAAGGTACCCTGCAGACATACAAGCGTGTGTGATGGTAAGCCTTGCTGGGCCATAAGGTAACACATAGCATGTAGATCTTATTAACTTCCCCAACGCCTAAGAAATCCTAAATTCTGAACCCATGGGCCCACATTTGGACACAGGCGAGGATCTGTCTTAAGTGGGACACCTCATGATGCCTCTAGGGGGCACTCCGGACACGTGGGAGCCAGGTGGGGAGGATGGTGTGGCTGTTGGGGCTTTGTTGGTTCCACTTCAAAGCAAGTCCCGGTCAGAGTCCGGGATGGCCCTCTGTTCTCCCACCCCTGGCACCCCCTCAGCCTCTCCTTCCAAATCCAAGTTCTCAGCATCCTCTCCTCTGATCTCTGGATCACTACCACCCAGCCTCCCCCCAGTCCCTCATTTTGTCACAGATTCAACCCCGTTGCCCCAGGTGCTCACCTGGCTGGCCAGAGGCCACGGGACAGGTGGAGGGGGGTTGCTATCCGCAAGCGGCTGAGCAGTGTGACGCCCGTAAACTCCCTTCATCTTGGCTCTAAAATCCTGCCAAGGAGAGACCAGGGTGGATCTAGTTGGAAAAGATGTGATTGGGGTAGGGACAGGAAAGAAGGCCTGTGATGGTCGACACCAGCGCCCTGAGCCCCATCTGAGAAGTCCCTGTTTGCTATTCTACGCATTCTGCATAAGGCCCCATGAGCTGGTGTTATCATCCCATATTACAGACAGGAAAACTGAGGCCGGGACAGGCTACACAACACATCCATGGTCACATTGGCTTAGAGCTGGATTAGAGATCACCCTCGCCCACTTGGAGAATTTTGCAGATTGTGCAAATGCAAGTGAGCCCACCTGATCTTTATGCAGCCTCATGTGGTGGTTTTAAAGCTTATCCTCAAATGCGTTGCTGCTTCTCCCTTTGGGAGATGGAATGAAATTCCTCTCCTCTCAAATATAGGCTAGCCTTAGTGATTCACTTCAGACAAACTCAGGACGTCCCAAAGGTCGCCATAAGTAGAAACCATTAACAAAGTTACATTTTTTAATATTTATCTATCAACATGTAGAGAAGTGTTTTAGAAATATTTTGAGGCTATTTTGTAAAATAAAAAAAAAAAGTGCATTTAGCTACACTTTCCCATTTTCCCCATGTATGTATGGTGACCAAGGCTCCACGCTCACAAGGACTCTGTGCTTGGTTCAATGTCCTTCTGATGCTCTCTTGAAAATCTTTGAGCAAAGCCCCCACATTTTCATTCTGCCCTGGGCCCTGCAAATCATGTGGCCTGTTCTCTACCCAGACCACGTCCATCACCCACCAGTTATGAGTGAGGAAACCTTTGAAACGACTGATCCCCAATCTACCAGCTGCGTCTGCATGAGGGACCCCACATGAGAATTGCCCAACAGAGCCCTGTCAACCCCCAAACCACAAGAGATCACCGAGATAAGTGGTGGTGGTTTTTATAAGACTAGGTGTGGGGAAGGGTGGTGTAGATAACTCCACCAGCTTATTCTAGATTTTAATCCGATCAGATGGGGAATAGTAGGCATTTAGCTCTCCATCAAAACTATCGCATCAGCCAGAAGATACTGGATGTTCATTCCTTCTTTTTAAACGTCCTCAGGAGGAACATGCTGATATTCCAGATAGCACAAAGAAAAATTCTCCACCCCTTGGTTTGATATTCAAAGCAGTTCATCGGAACAAGTCTGAGCCACCTGTGAGCCGATATTCAAAACAGTTCATCAGAACGAGTCTTCAGAGTTAGAATGTAAGTTGCAACATGATACCAACGAACTCAGCATCTATCAGGAAAGACCCCCAAATCATTCCTTCCCCAACAGAAAATGAGGCATCTGTGACCCACCTGCAGGTCCCTCTCCGGGTCATAATTCTCCAGGGTCTGGAAGGCGCTGGAATAAACCTCCACCGCTTTGGCATGGAAGACCATCTCGATGGTTACAAAATCAGAAAAAATTTTCTGTGAGGAGAAAAGCCAAAATCACCCAAGCAACATGGTGAGAAGCAGGGGTGACGGTGCCCGTAGCCTAATGGGGATGGGGCGGGGTTAGTCGTGCGTGTGGGGACAGGTCCTAGGTGGGGCATGTTATTTTAAATTTATTTTTGTTGGAACAGATAATGCATTTGCATGGTTCTAAAACCAGAATTGTGCCAAAGTGCTAGTCGAGGAGACTTGCTCCTTGTCCTGTTTGCTTCTGTCCCCTCCACCTTCTTGACATGATAACTTCCATAATAACTTCTTATATATTTCCCCATTGTTTCTATAAACATATTTTTCGGCTGGTTGCCTGCGGTTCAGTGGTTAGAGCACCAGCCTCGTGCACCTAGGGGTGGTGGGTTAGAACCTGGCCCAGGCCTGCTTAACCAAAAATAAAAATATATATATAATCTTCTTTTCTCCCTCTCTCTGTCCTGAGCTTTGCTTTTTTTCAGTCCTGGAGATCTTTCCATAGATCTTTTTCATCAGCATAGTGTTTAGTTTTGTTTAGAGACAGTCTCGCTCTGTTGCCCAGGCCAGAGTGCTGTGCTATCAGCCCAGCTCACAGCAACCTCAAACTCCTGGATTCAAGGGATCCTTCTGCCTTAGCCTCCCGTGTAGGTGGGACTACAGGTGTCCGCCACCATGCCTGGCTAGTTTTTCTATTTTTAGTAGACACACGGTTTCACTATTGTTCAGGTTGGTCTTGAACTCTGGAGTCCAGTCCTCCTGCCTCAACTTCCCAGAGTGCTGGGGTTATAGGCTGAGCCACCGCACTCGTCCACTAAGGTGTTTCTTTGCATGGACCGACTATAATTTGACATTCCCTGGGACTTGGACACATGGGTTATTTTCAGTCTTTGTTGTAACAAACAACATAGTCACAAAGATCGTTTCGTTCCTGGCCTGGAGTAGCTGTGGGGGGATTCCAGGAGTGGCACTCAGGGTCCAAGGCCAGAAGCATGTGCCTGGTCTCAGCTGCTCATGTGCCCTACCTGGGCTGGCTTTCTCCTCAGCACTGCCACCTGGACTGGCCCACCCAGCCTTGGCCTTACTCACTCTGAGGACGTGTATTTTCAGGTTGAGAGCTACAAGATCTCAGCCTGTGTCACCCACGGGCCGTGGGTGGGTTTTTCAGGGAGGAGGAAGAAGGCAGCTGGTGGACCCTGCCCAGAGGCCCCACAATCTGCCTGGGGCTGGCTCATCTTAAGGAGATGCTTGATTGGCTTCTCCAGGTCGGGAGGTTCAGCATGGGAGAGCAGGCTCTTACTGAGGGGAGCCAGGGGATGTCCTAGGGGAGGGTCCTACCTTGCTTGCCCCCAGTGGGACACAGGCTAAGTGCTGGGGGAAGGGCCTGCACTTAGGAAGTACTAGCTGCTCTAACCAGGGACATGCCTCAGTGAAGGAGGAGACCCCTGGGGTCAACATGGGAGAGAGAAGGGGAGGGAGCCTGAGACTATGATGGAAACACCTCTGCCACCCCCCCTCCTGCCTCCAGGGGGCATCCTTGAGCAGTAACAGCTGCCCAGTCTAGGCTGGGTTGCAAGGCCTCTTGCCACTTGCTGGCATTCGGCCCTGGGGAAATTTCTGAGTTTCAGTTTATTCTGCTGTGTAGTGGGGACAAGAGCAGTCCTGTTTACAAAGCTCTTGGAGAGTCAGGCAGAGCAGAGGTTTTCACTGCCCTCCTCGAATCAGCCTCAGCCAGGAGCTCTGGCAACCCTGGGCCCCTGGGAGCAGGGCCTGCAGGGTGGGCCCGTCCACCTGTGTTTAGGGAGCCCTCCTGGGGAGTCCTGACATGCTCAGGTGTGATGGCCCCCACATTACTTGCCTTTTCTTACAGGGGCCAGACAACAACTTGTAAATATGATCATTTTGTCAAAAACATGAGCTAACACCAGCATGGTGTTCCTATGGCCAGAAAGTGTGTGTCTCTCCAGAATTTGTCTGTTGAAACTTAATCCCCGGTGCCATGATGCTGGGATGCAAGGCACCTGGGGGTGATTAGGTCACGAGGGCCCCGCCCTCATGAGCGGGCTCAGCGCCATCATAAAAGCAGCTTACGGGCACGCGTTTGCCCCCTCAGCCACGGGCGGGCACGTAGGAAGCCCCACCTGTGAGGAGCAGCTCCCACTCCCAACACCAAGTCTGCTGGTGCCTCGATCCTGGACCTACTAGCCTCTGAAACAGTAAGAAATTTCCGTTGTTTATACATTACCTAGTTTAAGGTATTCCGTTACGGCAGCCTGAACAGACCGAGGAAGGTGGTGATCATTTCAAGATCTTGTTGTTCTCTTTTAAAATTCTGAGGAACTAGGCTTGGTGGCTATAATCTTAGCACTTTAAGACGCTAGGGTGGGAGGATCAAGGATCCCTTGAGACCAGGAATTCAAGATCCCCATCCCCCTTTACAAAAAATTAGCCAAGTGTGGTGGTGCCTACCTATAGTCCCAGTGTTCCAGAGGCTGAGCCAGGAGGATCCCTAGACCCCAAGAATTGGAGGTTGCAGTGAGCTATGACCATACCACTGTACTCTAGCTCAGGTGACAGAATGAGAGTATTAAAAAAAAAAAAATTAGGCGGCACCTGTGGCTCAAAGGAGTAGGGTGCCAGCCCCATATGCCAGAGGTATGGGTTTCAAACCCAGCCCTAGCCAAAAATTGCCAAAAAACAAACAAAAAAATGTGCCCAGCACAGTGGCTCACACCTATAATCAATACTATGTGAGGCTGAGGCGGGTGGATCTCTTGAGCTTAGGAGTTTGAGACCAGCCTGAGCAAGAGTAAGATGCCGTCTCTACTAAAAATAGAAAAACTAGCTGGGCGTTGTGCCAGACGTCTGTAGTACCAGCTACTTGGGAAGCTGAGTCAAATGGATCTCTTGAGTTCAAGATGGCACCATGGCACTCTAGCCTGGGTGACAGAGTGAGACTTTGTCTCAAAAAAAAAAAAAAAAAATTTTGAAGGGATTTTGAGAGGTTGTTTGGATACATGTGTCTTACAAATTTAATCCCAAAAGCTGGACGCAGGCCCATTTTAAACAACATGCTCTTGTTGGCCCCTGAGCTACAGGCAGAGAACTGTGTGGGCCTCGCTCCCTGGCACCTCCTTCCTCCAAGCCCCAGACACATCAGGTGCCTAATTACGTCTGCTGAGTATCTTCAGTCCTGCCTGCCAGGTAGAACTCTGGGGCACTGATTACCCTGTACCATTCACTGGGTTCATGTAATCTCCTATTCATTCCACAAGGATAGACTGAGTACCCTCTAAGTGCCAGGCCCTGAATCTGGTGGGCAGGACCCAGCAGGGGACACACCAGGCCAACAGGGTGCAATCACATGACCTATCTCTCCCTTAACAGTGTTGACTCCATGAGCCCAGGGACTTTGCTGGGCCCAGTGATGGCACATGGAGGGTTTGTACTCAACACTTGTTAAATGAACAAGTGAATTAAATACACAATCTCCTGACGGCGGCTGCAGGGTGTGTTAACAAGGGGCCTGAGCAGCTGGGGTCCAGGTGATTTCTCTTGAGGAACGAGGTGAACCTGAGTCTGAAGCGTGGTGTTTGGTGCAGAGTGAGGGCACAGCCTGTGCAAGGCCCCTAAGGTAGGAGAGGGGTCAGCACACTGAAGCTGGAGAATCACTTGCAGGCTGAGGCTGGAGGGCAGAGCCGGGCTGCAGGAGCCTTGGGAAGGACCTTGGCCTTGACCTTAGAACAAGGGGCAATGACAAATTGGACCTGCGTTTTCGGAGATTCCTTGAGCTGCTACTTGGAAAATAGAGAGATGGAGAATGGGGGGAGGGATCTCTGTGAACAGCTTGTGCTGAAAGACCCCAATTCCCTAAGACCGTCTTGCAGGAGCCAGGCCTCTGGGCCCGGGATCCCACTGCCCCGGGGTGTAAGGAGGAAGGCGCCCACACCGCTGTGCCTCCCCGTGGCTTGTTCACAGAAGTGTGTCCGGGATTTGGAGGAGAAAAGCAGGAAGTTAGCACAATCCTGGGGGCAGTTGTGTGAAAAGCAAGACAGGAGGGCGGGAGTGTATTGTGGGGACACAAACTCTGGGCCGGGAGCTGTGCCCAGGGCCACCAAATGGCTTCCTGGCTCCTGAGCAGCCCAGCTCTGCCAGGACAGCTGCCCCAAGCAGCCGGCCTCCTGCCCTCCCTGCTTCATGGCCAGGATTAACTGTCCCCGGAGCCTGTGTGTACACAAGTTCACACAGGTGCTCATACCCTCATGGCTCACACACGCATACAGGCACACATGTGCACTGGTAACATGGACACACAAAGCACACAGAGGCAGCACCTGGAGGTCCTGCAGCTTCTGCCTCTGGAAGGCGTCCACTGTCTCCTCCAGCTGGCGGGTAGTGCGGCTGGCATCCGCTGAGGCTCTCTGCACGCTGGTCTCTGCCTGGCGCCAGGGACAACAGAGGTGCAGTGTCACACATGACTCGGGCCCTTGGTCACCATCCTGTCTCCACACCCTCCTCATAGGCCAGCTCCCTGCCTCATGGGACATTATCTCTTGCCTATGTGGTCATCCAAGTAATGGTTGAATAGGACCATGGCTGAAGGGGCAGTTGCTAGAGGTGGACAGGCCTGATTGCAGCTGTGTGACCTTGAGCAAATTACTTTAACTCTGAGCCTCAATCGCCTTGTCTCTAATGGGGGCCCTTGATAAGACTTGCTTTGCAGAGTTGTTGAGATTTAAACAGGGGGCACCTGGTGGTCGATTGTCACAACAGGTGCCACTCAGTCCCAATGTTTAGTCCCATGTGTGCAGCACTCTCGGGTAACCCCACTCATCCCTCTGGTCTACATCGTAGGGGGTTTGCCAAGCCCAGACCTCCAGGAACTTGGACTTCAGAATCAGGCACCATGAGTTCTGGGTTTGCCACTTAACTGCCTGTGTGACCTTCAGCAAGTCACCTTTCCCCGCCTCAGTCTCCTCTATAAAAGGGGGACTTAGCCCGGTGCGGTGGCTCATGCCTGTAATCCTTACACTCTGGGAGGCCAAGGTGGGTGGATTCCCCTGAGTTCCTAGGTTCAAGACCAGCCTGAGCAAGAGGCAGACCCTGTCTCTAAAAATAGTTGGGTGTTGTGGGCACCTGTACTCCCATCTACTCTGGAGGCTGAGGCAAGAGGATCATTTCAGCCCAAGAGTTGGAGGTTACTGTGAGCTGTGATGCCATAGCACTCTACTAAGGATGACAAAGTGAGACTCTGTCTCAAAAAAAGGGGAGGCCTTAAACTCCTGCCCAGTGGTGGGATGAGGGAGTAGGGGGCTAGCATCCAGGAAACCCCCAGCAAAGAAGGGAAAGCTATTGTCTTTCAAGCCAACGGCTGACAAGGATGGGATGGAATTCCAAGGCGCTCACAAAAGGCTGTCACCCTCACTGGCCTGGATCCAGACTCCTCAGCCTGGGCACCCTTTCCTGTCTGTCACTTGTAGGATGGTGGCAGAACCCCCCCTCACTAGCTGCCATGGGGCAGGCAGGATGGTGCCCCGAAAGATGTCTACCTCCCAATCCCCAGAACCTGTCAACACACCACCTTACAAGGCATAGGGGAATTACAGTTGCTAATCAGCTGCTCCCCAGAGGGAGATTTTCCTGGGTTGTCTGGAAGGGAGGGAGGGAGGGAGGCAGAAGAAGAAAGGTGTAAGTTTCTGGCTGGAAGACTGAAGGGAGGGACCATGAGGCAAGGGATGTGGGCGGCCTCAGGAAGCTGGGAAAGGCCAGGGAACGGGTTATTCCTAGACCTTCTAGAGCAGTATTTTTCAACCTTTTTTATCTCACAGCACACTGGAACCTATAATTATACTTCCGTGGCATATTTAAATTATACTGATCAAAGAAAGAGTAAAAAAAAGAATATACTTTGAACTTATTTTGAAAATAATTAATGGTCTTTAAACATTTTTTTGGTGCTCATCTAAGATCCTCTCAGCACACCAGTGTGCCCCTGCACACCAGTTGGAAATCACTGTTCTAGAGGCCACCAGCCCTGCCACATCTTGGTTCAACCCTCCCGGGCTGTGAGAGACACATCATGCTGTTTGAGACACTGAGCCTGTGACCATTTGCCACCAGTGGTGGGACCCTAACCAGCATTCCCCAGTTAGGACAGCCTGAAATGCCCCCACTGTCAAAACTACTGACCCAGGTCCACCAGGGCTCTTTGGATGGGGTCACTCATCATGGCAGAGGGGACTGACTCTTCTACTAGCTCTGACCTCTCCCCCAGCTCCCACCACCCCTGAGCCTCTCTGAGCCTGTTTCCTCATCTAGACAATGGGGCTAATGCTGGAAGTTACAGCATTAACTGTAACCCTGACAAGGAAACTGAGGCATGCAGAGTGACTGCTGGATGGTGCGGATGACAGGACAGAGCCCCAGTGTCCTGACCCTTCAACTGTCCTCAGTGAGCAGGGCCTTGCACCCATCTGCTTCTGCCTGGGTGCAGCTTACCTGGCCACATCTCGAGGTCACGCATTACCTGTCTACCCCACACAGACGTGTGACACTGACCTGGGACTGTAAAAGGTGCTGTTAAGGAACCAAGTTGAGCCCAAGCAGCCCCACTGGGGTGGTCACCCCTTCATGGCCCCTACCCACCAAACGTCCAGAAGGAGTGGCCACCCTGGCCCAGCAGCCCCAGCCCCACTTCTGGGGAAGGATACGATCATTTGTCGATCCGAGGGGGACTTCTGCCTCAGTTTCTCCAGCTTTTCCAGTTGTTTGATCTCATTATTTTGGACACGTTTGAGTTTCTTAATCTCAGTCTAAAGAAAAGAGGAAGGCTGTTTCCTGGGGTCCCTGCCGGGCAGGACCCAGATACCACCCAGCACAGGTGTCCCAGCTCACCCGCGTCTGTTTTATCTGTGCCCCGTAGAGCTTCAGGGGGTTGATGACCTTGGTCTCCAGCCTCTCCACCTGGGGGGGCATGAGGGATGCCAGAAAGTCAGGGTGAAGGGAGTGAGATTCTGCTCCCACAAGGAGCCACCTGCCCCCAACCCCGTCCCCCATGCTGCACACCAGACACAGGGAGCAGAAGGTGTCCTCCTTCGGGCCTGGGCTCGGGCAGCCCGTCCAGTCTCAGGACCTCCTCTCCTCCCCTGGAAGGTGGGGTCTGGACCATGCCCACTGGGGCTTTGTGATCACATGACAGGATGTGAGCAACCCTTGGAGGACAGTGGTGGGGCAGGGCTCAGGGTCCTTCCCAGGGAAGGGAGGCACAGGCACAGCGTGTGCTGAGCCTCCCTACGCAAAAGCCCTCTGTCCTCCTAATTGTGTGCAGGGAGGCAGTGACAACCCCACTTTGCAGATGAGAAGACTGAGCTTTGCCTTAGGAACAGGACTTCTGTTGAGAGTCTCAGCAGGCCAGAGACAGGGTCTCCACCCAGAGCTTTCCTGATCCAGGCCCTGACACTGTTCTCAGGTCTCCAAATTGCCTTGGGATCCCGCCAGCCCCTGGTAGGATGTGGAGCCCAAAATGGCTGGAGCTCAAGAGCCAGAGCTGGGGAGGAGGTGGGGGCACAGGGTGGGGGCACAGGGTGCAGTCAAGGCCCCCATGCTGGCTGCTGGTCATTGAGGGGCTTAAAATCCCAGGATGAGGGATTGGTGACAGGTAGGCCATGAGTCGGGCAGTTTCCAAGCAAGAGCAGAACCAGGTTAAAGCCCTAATGGCACCCACTCTCCCCTCCCAGAGTATGACTCCGGCGGTCCAGGTGTGGCCCAGGAATCTGCATTTATAATGAGTTCCTGAGTGAGGCCGATACTGCTGCCCCAGCCGGCTGTCGGAACTAGTGGTATAAAAGTGAGTTACTGGTCAGTCGTCCCAATATCCTCTTGAGTTACCTACAGCTTTAGACCCATTTTACAGATGGAGAACTGAGGCCTAGAGGGCACATCCCTCTGCAGGTTCCACCTCACAGGGTCCGCCCTGCAGGCCTTCAGGAGATGCATCAAAGCTCACTGGCTTGGGGCTCTGACACTGGGGAGGGTGGAATAGAGTGCAGCCCATCTCAGAGTCCTCAAAGTCCCTCCCTCCCACCAAGGGCAGGGAGCAGCACGGACCAGAAAGGCAAGATGCACAGGCCATGGGGTGTCAGGGGGAGCATGAGCCTGGTCATCCCACAGCCAAGCCCAGTACCAATCCCTTGGCCACCAGCTTGTCAAGTAGGTGGGGAACTGGAATCCCAACCAGCCTGTGACCCTCATGAGAGTAAATCAAACTCTAAGAACTCTGTCTTCCTAAGTGCTAGGAGGAAGGGAACTTCCTCCTCCTTCCCTTAAAGCAGCAGTTCTCAACCTGTGGGTCATGACCCCTTTCTAACAATGAAAATACATCTGGGCATTAGGAAGGTTGAGAACCCCTGCCTTAAAGCAAAGCAACTTGCCCTTGTAAATCCTTGCCCTGCCCCTCTGAGATGTAAGTGAGCCTTTTAAAAAATGGAACAAGCCTCTTGCCAGCCTTGCGACTGGGGCTGTCTTTGTCATTCTCAGGAGGCTGGGAGCACGGTGCCCTCCCACCCCATCTCCACGGGTGCCTGGCTCTGAGCTCTGACCTCTGCTACCGAAGTTTTATTTTCCCTTTGGGTGAGGACGATTGAGTAGCACATGTGGCTGTCCAGTTACCAGGTGAGCTCAGGATGAGCCAAGTATGAGGCACAGCGGCCAAGCCTCTGGCTCAGGACAGCAGTTGTCAGTCTCCAGGACAGGAGTGGCTGCTACACCTGCTTGGCTGCAGATAAAGGTGCAGTTTCTGTCTGCCTTGTACCCCCTTTCTGGGCTTGCCGTGGCCGGCACGGCTATCTGGTTTAATGATTATTCAGCGGTAAAGCTATTTCATTCTTTCCTATAACTCACAAGAAGGATCCTTCCGAACTGGCAGGAGATTTCTAGTTTTAATTATTTCTCTAACACCTTGCAGCCTCTTTGCCTCCAACTCCCCTGTCGGGTTTCTGAATCATGAAGCCCCCAGAGCTGGCTTCCCAAGTCTCCTTGCCTGGACCAATCAACAGTGTCCCAGGCCCTTCTTAATCCCAGAAACAGAGGGGTCACCCTGAGGGTGGGACAGTATAAGCATCCCCATCCCCCCCCCCCAGTGCCTTTGAGACACATCCATCAGCCGTGGCCACAGCAGTGGGCCCCGGGTGGCCCCGCTCACCTCAGCCTGCCGGTAATCCTGCACTTTAGCTAGGTCCTCAGCGAAGTCCCTCACAGTGGCCCGCAGCTCAGGGGTCTCAGTGTTGGCAAAGTCGATGAGCTGCTTGACCAACTGGTCGGCCTTGTCTCTCAGCCGGGCCGTCTTGCGCGTGTAGGAGGCCAGCAGCGAGCAGAACTGCCCGAAGTACTTCTCTGCGTTGGCCACTGTGTTCTCCATCACCCTCAGCTGGCTGTCCCTGGGGGTGAGGCTCTGTTATGCCAGGAGCAGATGGCAGGTCGACTTGCGCACAGCAGCCACCACCCACCGGCCCCCAGGACAGCGCTCTAGGTGATAGCATCAGGAGCTATTGAGGCAGAGAAGGGGGCCCAAGGGGCTCTCAGAGACAGGTGGGCAGGAATGTGGACCTGGCCTTCCTCCTTCCTGGGACATCTTAAAGGGGTGTTTCTCTCCCTGATGAAATGGTTTTCAGTTCACAGACCCTATGCTGCCTTTCCCTGCAGGCTGTCAAAATTCCTCTCCCACCTCTGCACCCTGAAGCTTTTGCTTAATTAAAAAACTATTTTTAAGAAAACAAGGCCAGTGGTGGCTCACACCTGGAATCCCAGCACTCTGGGAGGCTGAGGCTGGGTGGGGTAGGATGGGGGGAGCTCAGGAATTTGAGACCAGCCTGAGCAAGAGCAAGGCCCCATCTCTACTAAAAATAGAAAAACTAGCCGGGCATTGTGGCAGGTGCCTGTAATCCCAGCTACTCTGGAGGCTGAGGTGGGAGGATTGCCTAAGCCCAGGAGTTTGAGGGTGCTGTGACTGTGATGACACCATGGCACCCCAACCCAGGGCACAGAGTGATACTCTGCTGAGAGAGCGAGAAAGACAAGACAGTTTTAGGTTTGAAGAGCTGAGTGCAAAGCACCCTCCTGCCCCGTGCCCCATTAAGACCATCTCGTGCTGTAGCGATCCATCTGGTACCTCTGAGGAGCTGATGTGGATGACTTCCTAGTCACTGGAGCTCACGGTTGACAGGACAATTTGCTCTTGGTGTGGCACAGTCTGCACAGTGTCACATGTCCACACTGCAGTGTCACTAGGGCAGTTTCCCTGCCCTGAGAAGCCTCTGTGCTGCCCCGTTCCTCCTCCCCACTCACCTGCAGCTTCAGTCTGCAGCTCACATCCCTGATCCTCTCACGTCATGCTGGGATCCTCCCTCCCTCCCTCCACATCTTGGCAGGTGCTCTCTGCCTCTTCGCCTGCCCCTGGCCCAGCACCTGCACATCTGGGCATGTGATGGGCCCAGCCTCAGCACCACCCGCTTCTGGTCCATCTCCAAGCTGTCACTGTCCCTGCCTCTCTCCCTTTGCCTGAAGTCTCCTGTGTGGCCCTCAAATCACACCCCTGAAGCTAGAAACTCTGAGCCCCTTGGGCTGCTGGCACATCAAGTGCTAGTTCCCAGCCTTCAGAGCACGTGAGGACCCCTCTCCCTGTGAGTAAGGGACTGTTGTTATCACTGCTGTAAAACTGGGCCTGCTGAGGCCCAGAGAGGTAAAGCATCTTGCTAAAGGTCACACAGCTGGCTGCAGTCTTTATTCCTCTAGGTGAGGTCCCTAATGTGGGTGTGGGCTGGGGGGAGCGCTCACCCCTGAGGTGAGTGTAGGCTGGAGGTGAGCTCACCTTGCCACCCCCCAGTAGTCCCTGCTGCCCTCCCCTTTCTCCGTACCTCAGGCCCCAGACACTGCCTCCGCCTCTCTCCCAGAACAGGGCTACTCACCTGGAGAGGATGATGTTCATTGTGACCGGAGCTATCAGCTGTCTTAGTCTTGGGGAATAAGGACAGGGCCCCACAGGCCCAGGAGAAGCCAGGCAGGCCTGGGCGCGGCTGTGTGGTCCGGGCTCAGGGGACGCTGCCACCTGGTTGCCAGGTGACAGTTGCTGCCCACAGCAGTCTCTGGGAGGAGCTGCTGTTGGTCACCCAGGCAACCACTCCCTAGGCTGGCCTCCCTGCGGGGACAGCCCCCCCCTCCCGCCCAGCCATTCAGAGAAGGGGCGTCCCAAAGAGGCCTCCACTCTCTCATTGAAGATGGAGGTTCTTGGGGGCAGTGGTTGGGGTTCCCTGAGAGGCAGCAAGGGGAGATTTAGGGCAGCTTGCCTGGGACTCCCTCCTACCATGAGGAGGCCCCCACTCAAGTGGGCAGGGTCCAGGGACAGCTGGTGACTCAGAAAGGCACAGCGTAGATCTGGGTGGTCCTGAGGCCCTGCACATGGATTGAGGGGACAAGGGAAGGAATCGGTTCAAAGGAGCATCTTTAACGTTTTTATCATCATCGTATTGTCCTTTCCCTTATTATAAAAACAGTATCCGTTCATTGTTAGTAAAGAAAATAAAAATGACACACAGAGGAAACTATAAAAGTATATATAAAATCGTAGTAACTCATTTTACATTTTGCTAATTGTAAGATCTGTGTATTTCAATGTGTGTACATTTTAAAGGAACGTGACAGCAGTCATATGGGATGTGGGTGGGAAGAGGGCAGGGGGGCCTATGTGACAGGAATGGCAGACTGCTGGGTGCTGTTGCTGCGGGTGACTCATTGTCCTCTTCTGTTTACTTTGTATATGTTTGGAATTTTGGAGAGGCTTTTATATCCTGAGCATAGATTACAGCAAGAATCAAGATCAGCCAAACACAAGTTCAAATCTCAGACCAGGCTCTGCTGTGTGATCTTGGGCAGGTCACCTGACCTCTCTGGGTGTCAGCCTTCTCCCCTGCAAAGTGGGATGGTGACAATACCTAGTCAGGAGTAATAAGCCCCTGGAGTGGGTCGAGGGACAGAGGCAGGGGCCAAGCACACATTGAAATTCCTTGTGCACAGGCAGGTGGTAGCAGTGGCTTCCCTTTGTGGCCAATTCCCGGTGCTCGCTGTGCCGTGCTGGTTGCCGATCTCCCACTCCCTCACACACACTTTTCTGGTGATTTCTTCCTTATCAGCTCTCAACTGTCTCTTTGTGCGCACCTTGTTTTTGTGGACCCTGAGCGGTGCACACCAATACAGCTTCTTCCCTGCTGTGCCCTCATCCTTTAGGGCATGCCACTGCCCAGCCTTCCTTGCGGCTGCTCTAAGCAGATCCCCAGGGCTCTGCCCATCAGCGTGGCTTTTCCCTTGATGCTGGACTGTAGGGTGGCAGCACCTTGGTCCCCTCTCTGTGCTGTGTGGTCAGATCCCTCTGAGTTCTCGGCTCCCTTCTGTCTTAGGTGGGTGGAATAGTGCCCCCCCCCCCATGCCTGTCCCCTCCAGGACCTTAGAATGTGACCTTATTTGGAAATAGGGTCATTGCAGCTGTAATTAGCTGAGTCAGACTGGAGTCAGGGGGCCCTAACCAAGGAGCGGTGTCCCTATAAGAAAAGGAAACAGAGCCCAGGGGAGCCAGAGCATGAAGCTGCCAGCCAACCAACACCAAGGTTTGGGGCAGCCCCAGGCGCTGGCAGAGGCAGGAGGGAGCCTCCCTGGAGCCTCCAGAGGGAGCACGCCCCTGCTGACACTGTGACTTCAGACTCTGGACTGTGAGAGAATGGTCTGTGGTTTGGAGCTGCTCAGTGGAGCAATCTATTCCCAGCAACCTCAGGAAATAAGCTCAGGGTCCAAAGAGAGCAAACACCGCAGCTGTGCTCCCGGCTCTCTCCCCACGCGTGGAGGCCTCTGACTTCACACCTGCCCTCTGCCCTGTGACACAACTGCACCCCCATGCCTGCTTCTCCTGGGCACTCTGACTGCATCCTGGGTCGCCTGTCTTTAGGGTATATGTTAACCTCCCCACTAGAGAGTCCCAGAGAGAAAGGACTGGATCTTATGCTATGGAACTTCCTGTGGAGAATTAGTTCCTTCAGGTGCCAGCTTCGTGGAGCCTCTTCTCCACGTGGCGTGAGCTAGTCCCTTACAATGACCCTCCGATCATGTCTCCCTGCTTCTGCTTCTTGGCAGACAGACGCCAACTCCGGCCCACAGGTGTCTGTCTGCGCTGCGGCTGCTGGCCACGTGGGGGCAGAAGAGAGCCACCGGGGTTCCTGCCGGAGCGACCGAGGCTACACCAGTCTTGAGCACTCGGCGCGGGAGGGGGATTCAGGGTGGAGAAAAATCATGGCGTGGCTGGGAAGGATGAAAAGAGGGTCAGAGACAAAGGGCGAAGGTTTCATTATCTCCGAAACTTTGAGACACAGAGACATCTAGTGGCTAGAGAGAGTTATGCAGGCAGACCCGGTGGGGGTCCGGGAGGACCCTGACTCCTGTGCGCTGCCCACTGGGAGTTGACGCCTCTCTTCCCTTCCTATAAATGCATTTTCGTTCAGCCGCTCAGAGAACTTTGCAGAGCCACTTCAAAGAGCAAGGGCGTGGCTCGGCGCCTGTGGCTCAAGTAGCTAAGGCGCCAGCCACATACACCTAAGGTGATGGGTTCAAATCCCCAGCCTGGGCCCGCCAAACAACAATGATGGCTGCAGCCAAAAAATGGCTGGGCATTGTGGCGGGCGCCTGTAGTCTCAGCTACTTGGGAGGCTGAGGCAGGAGACTCGCTTGAGCCCAGGAGTTGGAGGTTGCTATGAGCTGTGATGCCATGGCACTATACCCTGTAATGCCACGGCACTCTGCCCAGGGGGACGGCTTGAGGCTCTGTCTCAAAAAAAAAAAAAAAAAAGAAATTCCTTGTGCACAGGCAGGTGGTAGCAGTGGCTTCCCTTTGTGGCCAATTCCCGG